ACATACTATAAATTCCAGAGATGTTTCCTACTTGTTACCCAAAAAACAGATATTTACCTTCCCATTTCCATGGTCCTCAATCCATGGAAATCCATATCACATTCATAATATTAGTGAAAACAAATTTGCATGAAGGAAGCTTTGGTGTACAGATCTCATTAGCTTGGTCATTAAGAACTAACGGAAACTGAACAGAGATGTCAGCATTTTTGTAGTCTACAGTTAATGTGGTCTCTATTTCAAAAGTGCATATGCTTTCAATCTAGGCACAGTATTTTTCTTGCTTTCATACACTGTGAGTTCTATCTCCCTCTGTGGACTTGAACACCTACTATTCTAGTAGTCCCACTTTTTCTTTAAAGGTGGAAACCTAAACTTGTACTACCTATCTGCACTTTGTGTGCAGCACTTGGCTACTGTTACTTATGAACACTTTCAGCTCAAGAGCTACATGAAAAAGGTAATTAAATAGAATTCAAACATACTGTTAAAATGGAGAGAAGCACAGAAGTCTAGCAAGCATACATGTCAGGAACACTAAAACCAGTTCACAGATGATGATGACTAACACTGATGACTAGCCAAAGGCATTAGTAGTTATAGTCCATTTCCAAATGGACTTGTTTCACTGCCACAGAAATGATCACGAGAAACGGATTTTTTTTTGTTGGCAGTATATGTTCTGTCCAAGAACTGTATTAACATCAGAGACACTTTGCATCTGGATAATGATATCTGGGCTACAGTAGCACAGTACGAAACTGCTTTTCTACCAATGAAGATTTTAACTTCTCTCCATCCATTTCATCATCCACTTATCAACTTAGTAAGCGCCAGGGTGGGGGCTTTGTTGTTTTTGTTGGATTTTTTTCACAGTGGGTGTTTAACTAAAGCATTTCTGGAAGCTTTTTCTGTTTGGCTTGATTTGGTTCTAGCTTTTTGATCCTTACAAGATTTATAACCTAATAGTATCAGTCCTTCTTTGAAAGAATTTGTTTTAATGAAACCAATTTTTCATCCAAGTTTGACTACAGGTGGTTAAGCTTAAAGCCCCTGAAACTAGAGACAATTGACAGAAGTGGCATTCAGGTTAAGCCCACAATACATAGTATTTTTAATAGAACAATACTAAATCATCATTAAGTACCCATTACTTAGAACTATATTTTAAGTAAGGTGGAAGTATGGTAAATTTTCTAATAGTTTACAATTGATTCAGCTATGAAATAGCAGAAATAGGAACAAGCCTCCAAGCCTGAATGTGAATTTTCTGAAATTGTACAAGTTTGCAATGTTACCTGCTCCCAAAATGTTGGGAATTTCCCTTGCCACGTTTTCAACAATTTTGCCATTCAAGAGCCATACTGCTCTGCTAAAATATCATGCTATGATATGAATGTTGATAAGAAGATCAGTCAACTCAGTACCAAGTCTGTACCAACTCAGTACCCATTGATCTGAACATGCCTTGTCAAACTAGCCCAAGAAGTTCAGGTCAAGAAGTATGGGTCAGTGGTTACAATGATAAGGAACATCCTAGTAAATGTGCATTTTAGAATTTCCACAGTTACTTTGTTTTATTTTTATTTACTGGTTCAACTTACATGTAACTAGATAGTAACCTTAATAGAATATAGTTGAAGGAGAAGGTTCCCTGTCAAAAACTTATTTGAGGCATGTAACAAACTTATACTTGCAAGAGTTTTATACTTGTAGGTATCCAATCTTCATTTTGTTTTCACACAGCTCTCTGAAAGTGATTACCACTAGCATAAAATGAATCACAGAGTAAAATGCTAAAGCTTCCCATGGCTTTCCCTCCACTCCAGTTTCAGAAAGTGTCGCCTTATAATTGACAATTTGTTACTGAAAGAGATAATTAGAAGGTACCATACTGAGCACTTCACTCACTGGTGACAGCTGTGCCACTCCCATGAATAACGGGGTCTGCTTGGTAGAAAATCCGATGTGCCTTGATTTTTCACTCTTTGAGGGAACCTCAGGAGCACTCGGTTATCATAGTCTCTAACATCTGCTCGATAAGCTGAACTGTAACAGTGCAAAAAGAAGAGCCATAAGTGTATGCAAAACCAGCACACTTTAAAACTACATTATATTGTTTCAGAAGTGATTGAATATTATTGATCTTTTAAGCCTCCTTAAAGCTCATGCAATAGAGATGCACAAGAATTCCACGTAGTGTCTTCAGAAGGGCCTGGTATCAGAGGAAGAACTGAGTAAGATTCAGACCTGCTTCTAATCTCACAAAGAGGAGCTGGATCACCGACTCTCTGGCTCTGCCTGTTAAGCAGATCACTGCTCAGCTGTAAAATTACTCTGGTACCAAAAGTACAATCTCAGTAACTGCTGTTAACCAAAAAAAAAAAAATCACTGTGAATATAAGATCACATAACAGATGTTTGTTTCTGTTGTAAAAATATTATTGAACACATGACCCAGGCTTATCCTATTTTACACAGCCGTAATCTACAGTTTTTTACATACTGAATGATTTAATCATTTGCTAGTCAGCAAGAACATTTCAAATAGCCTTCATTGTAAAGTGAGCACAAAAAATACCAGTTCTTATACCATGTTTTCTTTTTTCAGCAAATGAAGAAAGAGCATGACCACAGAAAGAGTCTGACATCAATTAATGATGCTGGTAAATAATAAATGTGTTTTGCACGATAAGATATCAAACCAGTTAAAATGGTTAAAACCAGCCACGGTGATTTTGTTCCAAACAAAACAGGAAAAGTCCCTCATTGCCAAGTGTACAGGACCTAACTTGGTCAGCAAAGCTGCTATTTCAGACTGCTGAAAGGCTTGGAAACACTTTTCAGAGCGATTTTAGTTTTAAGATGCACTGCTAGATGTATTACAATACATATGTCCAGAAACAATTAGCATGTTTCAATTTTAACGGGAACTTGTGCTGGCTAGGAATAGGTTTTTACAAGTGGAGTAGAATACGATTTGGCAGGATTAGAAGAGGCTGATGAAAATCACCAGGTCCAAGTGGATTTTTCAGTGCCTCCATTTTGCAAAACTCAGCTATGTTCAAATGAGCCCGGCAATAGAAACATGCAGCATCACTTAAAAAAAAAAAAAAAAAAAAAGGAGTTTCTTCGAAGTAGTCTTTGGCTTCTCCTTCTAATAGGGTCGTGCTGTTCTGCTACATGCACAACCCTGCCATCTGCCAGAGGCTCAGAAGAGGGCTGCAGAGGGGTCTGCACGTTTGCAGGCCCTCTGGCCTCCCGTCTCCCACTCCCCACCAGTCCACAGCTGCAGCAGCACCACCATGAAACCCAGGGCACGACCCATGCCTACCTTGCCAGGCAGTTCTCCTCGGCAGCACATCTCAAGTTATACATGGACATCCTCTGGACGTACGTGGACGCCTGGATGTAATAGGGATCCGGGACTAAGTCAGGGAGACCTGCAGTTCATCAAACCAACCACAGAACAGCAAGATCAACCCAGGACATGTCTGCACACACTTGGCCCCCATCCCCATCCTCAAGGAGACGTCGCCTGCCCCCCGTTACGCGCTCTCCCGTGCGTCCAGACCCTTCCTCGTAAAAGAAGAGGGGGAAAAGAGACTGGGAGAGGGGGAAGAGGGGGAAAAATGAGTAAGACAGAGGGAGAGGGGGAGCGGGGGGGGCTCTTACCGTACTGGAAGTAGCCGGTGCCGTAGCCGGGCCTGTACCTGCTGCCCTGGCGGGGCCTCTCGTAGGTGTCGTAGTAGTTGTAGTAGGGGTTATCGTCCGTGTACTTGTAGGGGTTGTACGGGTCGTCGCCCACCATCACATCCTCCCTGCCGCCCCGCGGGCCGCCGGGGGGGAGCAAGCCGCCGGCCCCGGGCCCTCCGGCGGGGCTGCTGGGGGCGCTGGGCCGCGACGGCCCCGCCGAGGGGCTGCGGGCGCCGCCGGGGGTGGCAGCCCCGGGGCCGGGGCCGGGGCCGGGGCCGGGGCGGCGGGCGGCGGGCGGCTGGTAGCCGGCCTGGAACCAGTGGCGAGCGCCGGAGCCGCGGCTGCCGCCGTCGGGCTGCGGGTGGCCGGCGGCCGTCGGGCGGGCGGCGCTGCCCCGCGGCTGCGAGGCGTTGTTGCGGAGCAGCAGGATGGGGCTGCCCGCAGGCTCGGCCGCCTGCCGGCGCCGCGGGGGCTGGTACTGGGAGCCGAGGCTGAGCAGGCTGTACACCTGCCCGTTGTTCTCCCACTGGATCCGCTGCCTCCAGGCGGCGGGGGGCGGCGGGGCGGCGGCGGGGCGGCGCGGCGGCGGCTGCTGGTGCTGCTGCTGCTGCTGCTGCTGCTGCTGGCAGCCGGCGGGCCGGAGGCAGCTCCAGTAGATGCAGGCGTGGAGCTGGGCGAGCAGGAGCCCCGGCCGGGAGAAATGCATCTTGGCGGCGGGGGCAGGCGGCTGAGCACGGAGGGCGAGAGCGGGGCGAGGGGCGCCCCGGTGCCGGGGGAGGGGGCTCCGGCCGGGCCGGGCCGCCGAGGAGGAGGATGAGGAGGATGAGGAAGAAAGGCGGGGGGCACCCGGTCGCTCAGGAGCGGCGGCAGGCGGGCGGTGCCATCGGGCAGGTCGGGCCGTCGGGAGGGAGCCCGGCCCGGGGGAGGCGGCGGGAGCGGCTCCTCTTCTCGGCGGTATTTATAGGCGAGGGGGTGCGAATGGGAGCCGGAGCAAACAACCAGCCTCTCACCGTCCTCCGGCCCGCGCGGGCGTCTGCAGCGAGGGAAGGAGGAGGAGGAGGAGGAGAGCAGGGACTTTAAACTCGCTGGCACGCTCGCAAAGTTACACAAGCCCCGCTGGCTGCGCCCCCGCTATTTGTTCACGTAATGCGGCTGGAAACGTGCGGCCCGGACGGCTCCCCCGCCGCCACCGCCCCCCGACCGGGCGGGGGAGGCCGGAGGGGGACGGGGCACGGGGCTGGGCGGCGGCGGGACCCCGGTGGGCTGAGCCCAGCCCCGACGGGCCGGGCCGGGCCGGGCCGGGCCGTGCTGAGCCCAGCCGAGCCCAGCCGAGCCGAGCCGGGCCGGGCCGGGCCCGCGGCGGGCGATCGCGCTCAGACACACGTAGGCTGCCAGGCGGCGGGGCCGCGCCAGAGTTATGCCGTGGGGCAGCGCCAAAGTATGCAAAGGAAAAATGCTATTAGCTCATCAGCGCTGGAGAGACTCGAAACGGGGTGGCGGCGAAGGGGGAAGGGGCCGCTAGCGAGAGGTGAAACACGGTTCTGGAAAATGCGCCGGGCGGCCGGCACATCGCCCCGGCCGGGTGGAGAGGGGAGGGGGGGGGAGCTGCGTGTCGGGGCTGGGTAGCGGAGTCCCTTAACGAGCTGTTAATTAGGAGAAAACCTTCTTCAAAGGAGCAGCCCCTCGAGGATCCAGAGCTGCTTTTCTGAGTGTGAGTCACACGAGGAGCGCGCTGGCGGCTGCTCGCCGGGAGGCGAAACCCGCACGGCCGGGACCGGCACCGGCACCGGGACCCCGGCACCGGGACCCCTGCACCGGGACCCCTGCACCAGGACCCCCGCTGCCTTTGCCAAGGGCCTCCGGCTGAGAGCCAGACAGAGCGGCGGAGGGGACCATCACCATCACCACCACCACTGTTAACACCACCACCACCACCATCACTCAGCCCCACGGCGACATCTCAGTGCTGGGATGTGTCCTCCCTCCACCACTACCACCACCTCCACCACCACCACTGGTCCCACACCAGCAGCTCGGTGCTTTGGACGTGCTCCCCGCCACCACCACCACACACACAGGGATCCCCCAGGCTGGGCTGGGTGTGCTCCTCGTGGCTGCTGTGCTGAGGTGACCTCCAGGCTCTCCTCTTGTGCCACGGCCCATGGTGGTTCGTTTGCGTGTTGCCTCCAGAGGTTTGCAGGCTGTGACCCAAGTCCTACAAAATGGGGCACTGTGCTGTGGCTGTGAGGGCATGCGAGGGTGAGGCACCCAACACTGGTGCCACCAAGGCCTGACCTGGCAGCTCTCCGTGGCCCCTGACAAGCACTGTGCCCAGTGTCACCCCAGTGTCCCATCAGGCCCACCACTGTGGCTGATATCTGTGGCTGTGCTGCAAGAGAGTGTGAGGCCCTGGGCACTGAAACACCGCATCCACCCACATCATCTCAAGGCCCCAGATCCCTGGGATATCAGTGGACAAGTGTAAAAACTCCCTGTCTGGAGGACTCTGGGGAGCACAGGGTGGTTTTCATCACAGAGAGCAAAGTCTTCTTGCCTGGAGCACCCCAGCAGCCATGTGGGTGCTGGTTGTCCCTGGCAGCCAGCAGCAGGCTGGTGAGGACCACCCACCAGACCAGGGCCCCTGACAGACCCTGTCCCTGGCAGCCCGCTGCGGAGTTGGGTCTCCTTACTCATCACGTTTGTGTGCTGTTTGTCCCCTCAGATCATTCCCATTGTGGCTTTGAAAATAGTCTTCTCCATTTAAAGTTTTGCCTGGAACAATCAGTGACTAAGACTGAGTAAAATGGAAAGGTTGAAGACAGGGAAAATACAACACCGAAGAAATGAGGTTTCTGTCTTTCTAATCTTCCTCTAAATCTTACTAGTGTTACAAACAGCAGGTTGTCTCCCAATGTGTGACATTAGAAAATCTTTCCACACAGTGGGATTCTAGCCATATGTTTTTTGGTTTGTTTTTGGTCTTTGGTTTTTGGTTTTTGCTTTGCCTCATTAAGTAACTATTATTTTTTTAAACTGGAGAAAGCATAGTTGAGCCTGCCCTGCCCATTTATCACCCATTCACACTGTTTGCCATTTTTTCCACAGAACAACCTTTATTTGTTCATGAATTTAGGTTTCATAACTCACAAAAAGCACTAGCGGCATCCCCAGAGCATCACATCCTTCATTTGTTAGATGCTTATACCCTGCTCAGCAACTGTCTTTTCCTCACAGGTTGCCTAACTATACCTTGGTCTGTGGAGGCCATCAAAAAGCCCACCAGCTGCTGTGAGCAGACAGACATATGGTGGTGAAAATCTCTTGAAAGTCTCATAAGCAAGCCAGGTAATGTGATTGCTTTAAAAATACGCTAAAAATTAGCGAGTACTCTGTTATCAAGCTTCCTCATGAGTTTAACACAGACTCTTTGTAAAGATCAATTTTGACACTGGTTTGCAGTTCTCTTAGAGACCTGAGTATTCGTCTACTTCTTTCTTTTTTGGCTAGAAGGACTGAGCTGCCTGTGTGTGTGTTGCACTCAGAACTTTGATTTCTGCCACACATAGAAATATGTAGTCTTTATCAATTTAGATATTGACTTTTCCCTCCCCAAAAATTACTGTAATTGAAGCTGGTATTATTGTGCAATCCCAGTAATTTCTCAAAACCTGAGATTGGGAGGTATTTTATAGTTAAATTTAATTGTCAAATTGTTACGCTCCTCACTGAAAGGTTAGAGAAGGAAAAATGTTTTTAATGGCCTATGTAACATTTGGAGCTCTCCTTATATGTCCTTATATCTCCTTATATATCCACTACTGAACAGCAGTGGTAAATCTCAAAAACAGTAAAAATTAACCTGTATTAAATTAAAAAATAAACAAAATAAAATAATAATAGTTAAAAAAAAAAAAGAATCAAAACTATTTGAATTTGTCATTTCTTAGTACATGTCCCAAGAAAGACATTTTAAGGTTCTTTAAGATAGTCCTTACTCTTAGTGTGTTGTTGAAAGCACTCTGATACTGTAGAAGACAAGAAGTTATTTTGCATGTATAGCCAGTTTACAACAACTCCATTATTTGTTAGCTTTAATGATATTTCTAAGAACATCATCAACTCTGCTGTTTTGGGATGACTAATTTGTGGTCTGGTTTAGTGTTAATTTGGGATCTTACTTACAGGCATATACATGAAGAAAAAAAGAAATTTAAACAATTTTATAAAATCTTAACAAAAGACTGGAATCTGTGTTACCTATGTGTTAACTCTATTTCTTTGAAGCTGGTATTTATTTGTTTGAGATTGAAGGGTTGGTTGCTGAGGAGTCGCTATGAGAATAGGCTTGATGAGTCGTGGCTGGTTTCAGCTTTCTGTGTTTGAGAAAAAAATTAGTTTACTCATCTGTTAGTTATGCCTGAATAGGCAAAGTACTTTCTGTGATTTTTCTGTGTGCATAAACAATGCATTGCAAGTAGATTCTTAACACTTTTATTGCTTTACAGATCTTATTGATTGTATTTTTCATAACTGTTTTTACTATTGTAAAAACAAAGTATTCAAATTTGGGTAATTTTGTTGCACAGCAGAACACTGTATGTAGATTTTTCTGAAGCCCACTCTACAGCAGGTTGATATATGTTTATTTAGAAACTCATTGTCAGTGCAATGGATGAAAAGGTTCCTCATTGTAATGAATTATCCTTAATAGTTTGAATTAACATGTTAAGATATTCTATACAGTACGTGACTTCACTAGACAGTAAGGACACTAAGTATTTGCAGTCTGTAATGGGTTTATATTATTATTATTTTTTAAGAAACCAACTTAATTAGAGACCAGGATCATAGGCTTTTTCTGACATCAGTAGGTTTTGGACAAGACTCTATAAAAATTTGTTTTTACAAAAGCTAATTTTCTAGTTAAATTTAGCTACTGTTTGTAGATTGGATTGTGAAGTCTCTCATCAAGCAGCTTCCTATTACCAAAGTAAAATGCCAAAGGAAACTTATATATTTTTCTGCTCTGAATTTGTAAGTGAATTTGTTGAACAAATAAATCATTTAAAATTTAATTAGTCAGTGATCTCTTGAATTCAAAATTTGCAGCCAAAACATCACCTGGCCACTATCTAATATTTTATTATACAAAGCTAGTTTAGTTACTTGGTTTTACATGCTATGGGTAGACCTGCTGAACTGCACATACTCTGGTGAATAAAATTAAACACACTTGTAAATTTCTGCAGGATCAGATAGCACTGATAAGAAAAGCAATTACCAGAGATGAGGCAAGTATTGGTTTATTCTGGTGTGAGAGCTTGAAGACAAAAGCCTTCTGACATCTGTGGACTTTGTCAAATTAGGGATTTGCAGTGAAGTTTGAATAGCAGTATTTTTTAAAGTTTAGACCATCAGTGTGTCGGTAGACCTGAATATGAATGGTTTCACAACATCTAGTTACATGGCTTCTTACCTGAACCTGAATTTAAAAGAGCGTGGTGAAAATTAAACAAATTTTAAAACTTTCTGCTGTGAATCTGTAGTGTATTTAATCTCTGATTGTTTTCTATTTCCCTACTAAGGAGTCTCACAAATATTTTAATAACAAGTGAGACTTCTAAAAAAGTGAAATAAATACATGACAACTAATGCAAATTGAGACAGATAATTGAAAATCCAGTGAAGTTATTTCCTTTCATATATATCCGCATCTGTGATGAAAGTTTCCCTAATTATTGTCTTTGAAGTATTCATTGCAGTAGTAGGCAAAATTTACCATAAAAATATAACTGGGTATGTTCATTTCAATTTCAGTAAATTATCTGATGGCATGCAGAAAGGAATAGTAATCCAGGATGTTTAGAGCAAAGAGACCATTAGCTGTGTATTAGAGCATGTGGTAGGTACACGTTAGATTCATTTATCAAGGTTAATGAAGTAGATTTGAACACTGCATGTGTAAACAGTCTTTTTTCTTGTTGTTGTTAGGAAGTTCAGTCCTGGATTGTCTTCACAAGCAGAGCAAGTCTTCAACAACTGCCTAATTTTATTGAAGCTTTCAATCCTGAGAAGAGGACATCATGACAAACCTTAAAAGCTTAAGTAAATTCAGAAAAATAAATGTCTGGCTAAACGCATCACACATCATGTCTGGTTTGTGGCCCAGCTCCAGAATGAGTCTTGCCTTTCGTATGTGGACATTTTGCACAAAAGCAATTATAAAAGAACACACACACACACACACACAAAAAAAAAAAAAAAAAAAAGAGCTAGTAAGTCCAAGCTAAGGGAGAGTTGAGTAAACAATTAATTTCACATTAATGCATTCACCAGACTGTTCTGAGATTAAGAACATTGTGTATGAAGGGAGAGGAATGGATGACGTCTCAAATCAGATATTTTTCTTTCCTCTTCACTGGGGCAAAGCCCTTGTGAAATCCAACATAATATGAAAGAAGAACTTGCCTACAGAAATTTTGGAACATTATATTACTGTTCATCTCATCAAAATTATTTAGACAGTGTGGCAGTGATATATCTAAAACAAATCTAATTTTGTAAAAATTGCACAAAGGAGTTCCAGATTTGTTGTATCTAGTTCATTATAATAACTAACTTGCCTGGTCTGCAAGTAGAAATAATTCCTAACTGTTCTGTATTCTGATGGTTCTTTTCTGCCTAGTGTATAGCACCTTTGTCTTCCTAATCATCCCTGAATTAGCGTGGTTGTTGAAGAGACAGGTAATTTTTTCTGTAGGACTTCAGTATCTGCTCAAAAAAGATTAGAGAAGAGCCCACCTTCAGCTTGTAAGGTGGATTTTCATAACTCATGTCAGAAAAGAGCTGTCTCTACCCCAAGAAGGTGCATATAGAGTCTCAATCAAAATAGCAACCTATAACGGCATTCAAAATGCAAACAAGAATGCATATGAAGTAGTAGCACAATGACGATAATGAAGAATTCCAGTATCTTTGTAACAAGGGTGTGAATTGTCTGATACTTTGTCTTCACTAAGGAATTTGTATCCAGTACATAGCTACAATATGCCATCATGGCATCAAAGAGACCGTTACCTTTACATCAGATATAATGGTCCTAGAGGTATCAAGGAAACTAGAAAAAAACAGTTTGCAGTTTGTATTCAAATAGAAATGAGGGAAGAATAGAAACAATTGGTATGGAACATGGAAACCTACTTCAGGTAGGCCTCAGAGACTTACCCAACAAAGGGTCTTCTGACAGGGATGCAGGTTCTGAGTTGCATTACAGTAGCCAAGTTCACATAGAATAACAGTGTAGTTCAGTCATCTACCAGCAATTAATCTCTACTGGATGCCTCCAGCAGCCTTTTGCTGTATCTGATGGTACTGTCAAAATGTAAATGTGTCTTATGGGGGGCAAGATGCATCAAAAATAACTTCACATTTTCAACCCAGTCTTGGCTCCTAGCTTGGTATTTATGGACAAGCAAATGTTTGAAGTTCTCAGACATAATAGTTCTATTTTGAATGTGTAGGATGGTTTATCTGTACGTCTTCATAAAAGAAGTTTCTGAGAGTGTTACGTAAACAGACATATTGCAAAGTGTGTGCATTTCCACTTCTGGAACAAGTCAGCTTACAAACAACAGAAGAGATGTCCCAGGTTGCCTAAACTGATGGTCTGGACTGGCAAGCATTTCTTGGTTGCTGAGCATTTCTTTCTCTAGTCTTAACTAGCTATAACTATTCTAGGAAGATTGAAACAAACAGTGTCTAACTGAATGAGTCTTGGGAAGAGCTGACTATTTATTTACTTTCCTCATAAGATGAAGAGAACACTAAACCCATTGAGGAGTAACTTGTTGTTCATACTCTTGTCCTACCCACGTGCATGATCGTGGTCCCATTAGCTTTCCTCCTTTCTATTCCCTTGTTTTTTCCAATTGTTGTATCCTTCCTCTAGCCAGATTGCAAGCTGTCCAGGCAGGGACCACGGCATCCTATGTGTAGGCTCAGTGATACTCACAGTAGAGCACTGAGTCTGACTGTTACTTTTGGCCACTGCTGCAATATGAATAGCAGCACTGAATACAGAATGCTGCGTTGAACAGATGCGACATTTAGAACATGTGAAAGCCCTCACGCAGCTGTGTGTATTATTGAGCAAAGTTGACACTCAGCAATTCTGACTCAAATAAAACACCCATGGTGGTTTTCCCTTTGGTCTAATTTTCATCATAATATTTTGTCTTACATACCAATATTATGAACTCTTTTACTATTCTGCTCTGTAGCAGCATAATGGATCCTTTTGGAAACACATTCCTGATCTAAATCCTATTTTCATCCACAGGTAATTATCACATTTTACCTTAGGTCTTTTCATTGCTTAGATCATTGAAGAAATTATTTGAAATAAAACATTAAGTCATGCAGTTAGATTGAAAGGAATGTTTGTAAAAAGATGTAGAAGGTATATAAGAGCAGTGACTGTGATATTTACCAATTAATAGTAGTTGAATCACACAGAATCACAGAATTGTCTAGGTTGGAAGAGACCTCAAGATCATCGAGATATACTTTATGTAGTGCTTGTTCAGCTTTAATGAGTTGATGCAAAAGTTGGTGGTAAATATTGTTTTCTCTTCAAAGCAAACAGACTCGAGCAGGTACTAATTAGAGATCAGCACAGAAATTGTCATGGTGGTATGCCAGGTTGGTTTTGTTGGGTTTATTTATCTGATTTGAAGCCTAACACAGTAACTGGTTGAAACTGAACTGCGTGTGTGTCAATTAGAAGTATTCAAAATTCTCCCAGCGTGTGATGTCATATAACCAAACAGAAATGTCTGTGGAAATAGATACATTTTCAGAAATTTATACACTCATTTGTGCCAATTTCAGTTGAATACTCTAGTGGCAAAGGTGGCTGCTACTTTTGTTTGTGTGAATGGATCCTCTTCCCCAACTCTCCAGCTGACTTGTGTTGTCCCCTGTGACACGTCTAGGCTGTGTCCACATCTGGTCAGGGAATGGGGTGATGTGGCCATGAGGGTCTACAAGGGGTAGGAGATGGGATGAGGGAGAGGCCACGACAAACAGCCTTGACTCCTGTGTAGCACTGACTTCTCCCTACTTTCAGAGGCACTAGGGAAAAGCTGTGGTTAAACAGAGTGACTGGGTTTGTATGAGTTGTCTATTTGGTGGCATGGGAGAAGGACGAGGACATGAGATGGGGACATATGGGAACAATTAAACCCTTTACTTGTCTTCCCTGGTAAATCTACAGGAGAACCCACAGCAGGTTTTCTTTTAGTCTAGTTTCACTGTGCTATTTACATTCTTAACCTGTTCTTATTTAACAAAAGTTCCCACTTGTATCTATCTACATACTATGTTATATCTAAATACAAGTAACATGTCTATGCATAGCTTGAGCGAAGCCAAACTGTTGGATCTCTACAAATACATAAACCACGACAAAAAAATACATACACTCCTCAGCTTTAGAACATTTTATATTTCTGTCATCACCCATGCTTTTCTGTGGGGATCCTAACAGGGGTTAGCTGTTCTGCAGAATGGGGTGTATCACCAACCCAAGTACACCAGATTACACCTTCTAGTACTGTGATCAGATAGGATTGTAGTGAGGCATGACAGACCCTAGATGTTCTGCTTTTCCTAGTGAAAGGTCATTGTAACTGCTCCACTGGAACCAAGCTTCATGGAGGAGGCCAGAAAATCAGTAGGGAATAAGAAGGTCTTGATGTGGTGGCATTACCTTACCATCTTGGTCCTAATGAGGAATAAAGAGCAAAGCCTGTTTGGAACTCTCGTAGGGCTTCCTGAGGAATCATATTAACAGAAATGACCCCGTAAGAAAAGAGCCTTAATTTTGGCATGTGTAAGGAGGAAGGATGCTGCTGAGGATGATGAAACTTATCGAATGTCTGGTTCCAGAAGCAGGTGTTTCCCCTACAGGCATGCAGGGAATTCAGTGTGTCTGGATTCCTCTTTAAAGTTTTATGGACAGCATTCATTTGTAGTGCATGTCATGGATATTAGCTGAGTTATACTAAGGTTGGACTTTGCACTTAACAGTAGAGCATTTAACATATGTCCTGTGATGTGTTTTTTTAAAGAATATAACTTCCTCTAGATACTATATTTGCCACATTTTTAATTGTAGCTCTGGCTTTGCATTTTAATCTGCATTAAAATTATAATGATTTTCAACACCACTCCACTGTTGTAAAACTTTAGGTTATTAAATTTTAAATTGTAACAGGTTGGCAAGCAGGAGCAGAGCACAATATAAAATGCCTGAGCTAATTAACAATGGAAAGGTCTTAAGCTACCATGCACCTTTACGTCTTTACTGTGCTGTCCTAAAGGTTTACTATTTCCCAAAGAGTAAGTGTTAACAAGCAGTATGCATTACATCATGGAAGATTCAAAGGCATATTACAGTAAACTCCTCTATCACTGTTTTTAGCACAGCAAGAAGGAAGAGCATGTCAACTCTGTTGAAACAGTGTTACTGAGCAGTGCTGGACAGGCAGTAAATGGAATATGCTTTTATAGAAACCTCTGGGGAAAGCTATAGGGAAGATTACATGTGTTAGAATTTGGACTGGAATTTGGATTCGCAAAATTTTAAAGCCAAAAAGGACCTATGTAGTCTAATCTTCTGTATAACACAGGCCATAGAATTTTACCCAGTAATTTCTGCATAAGGATCATAATTAGTAGCTGAGCTAAGGTATCTTTTTTAGAAAGACAGTTTTGGATTAAAGATTTCAAATGATAGAGAGCACACCACATCCCAAAGTCAGCTGATGCAATAGGGTTTTTTTTCCCCTTCACTTCAAAACAAAACAAAGTTGTGCCTTATTTATAATCTGAATTGAATACCTCTTCTGATTTACTCGTCCTCAAGACAGCATCCACAGCAAGAAAGCACCTGCTAACACAAGTGTGAACACGAGTTCAGTATGTTGCTGTAAAGGAGCAGTGTTGGATGTGGCATGTGGTATGCAGGAAAAGTATTTCTCCAACTCTGCATTCCTCATTCCAACCAGTGGAGTGTTGCTGGACTGTGAAAGCCACTGGTGGGTGTCAGCTGTGGGGGCAAGCAGAGAGACACTTATCC